CTTACCTTAGGATTGTGGACTGCGGCTCTAACTGGCCATTGCGGTGGGACTGCGGCTCTAACTGGCCATTGCGGTGGGACTGCGGCTCTAACTGGCCATTGCAGTGGAAACTCCCAGAATGTTCTGCTCCAGGAGGCCTGGGAAGTTTGTGCCTGACTATCATCTTCCTGCCGCAGGAAAAGTCATTTGTCTCTCAGCTGCAGTCACTGACTTGCGCTGCTTAAAGTTGTCACATGCTGAATGAGGATAACGGGGGGGGACATGGACGGCTGATTGTCGGCTTGGCAGCGTCCCGGGGGCTGTGTAAAGTGCAGCCACCTCCCTGCGCTCACGTTACTCACCTTATCAGTTTATGATAGTCCTGCAAGTGGGTATAAACACAGAGATACTTCAAAAAACATAAAATCTGGAGGGTGACTGGGCTGGTTCTGTCCTGGGGGGTGACTGGGCTGGTTCTGTCCTGGGGGGGTGAATGGGCTGGTTCTGTCCTGGGGGGGCGAGGGTGAGACCTGTAATGATAATTTGGGCTGTTGGGTTTGTGTTCCATTCAGGCTAATAAAGAGGGAGCAGGGAATGTGTCTCTCTTGTGAAATGAGACCTGGATCTCCTTTGCACACCGAGGGCCATCAGTATCATCATGAGGCCACATTTTGTAATGGGGTTGTGGGAATTCCACATTATAGTAACAGATTCTGTATTCTCACTTAGGTGAAAAGTCATCCATCTAGCTTCCGGTCGCTTATCCTGGTCCAGGCTACTGGAGGTCAGGAGAAAATCCCAGGCAGCCCGGGGTAGAGGCTGGGGCCCAGAAGCCAATCCCAGGCAGCCCGGGGTAGAGGCCGGGGCCCAGGAGCCAATCCCAGGTGGCCCGGGGTAAAGCCTGGGGCCCAGGAGCCAATCCCAGGCAGCCTGGGTTAGAGGCTGAGGCACAGCCTGTCCAGGGTGCATGTGTGCACTCTCGGAAGCCGCCCAGCAGGGGCCGAACATGCGACGCCCATACAGCGCTAAACCCTGACCCAACACGCAAACCTGCAAGCAAATCAGATACAAGCATTCTGTAAACATTTCTTTTGAAAGATAATTGCAGTTATCCATCTATCCATCCATCCATCCATCCATCCATAATGCATAACAGACTTTCCAGTACAGGGTCACAGTGATTCTGGGGCTTTCCCCACCTCAGGGCAGCCGTCCAGGCACCAGGAAGCCCTTGGGAAGGCAGTAGAGGAGAGAGGGACTGTTTGCGAGTTGATACAGAGACACGGGAGCTATACAGGCCGACAGTGGAGTACAGTGTTTACAGCAGTGCTGAGGCTGAGGAGCCTACTAGTATGTCTGCACATGCGCTTGGTGCAGTGGAAGCCTCCTGCCCCCCATGCGCTTGGTGCAGTGGAAGCCTCCTGCCCTCCATGCGCTTGGTGCAGTGGAAGCCTCCTGCCCTCCTTGCGAGCAGCGGCACATCTGAGCTCCCCTCGCAGCCGGGCCTGTGCCTCCCGCTTCACCGGCTCCTCTGATGCATCTGCTTCTGTGCCCAGATCTTCAACAGGTGCCCCACCCTCTAGCTATGCATGAATGGCTGCATGGAAGCTCAGGCACCTCTGGGGTTCTCCATGGCGTGGAGGTCCCTCGGGGGGCTCTCTGTCCTGCTTTCCCAGTGATTTAGTGCAGTCATCTGGAAGCTATGCTCACTTTGGTTTTTCCATGTGGCTGTTAACTGCCTTTTGATGGACAGTGAATGCTGGCTCAATGAATGGCTATTTAATTGCATCTGAGTGGCAGCCAAGATGATACCATGACCTACTGAGCTGCAGTCATTCTGAAAGCCCTCACTCCAAGGCTGTCATGGCCATCGTTGGATCTGCTGCCATGCTAACATTTCCCTCGGTCCATGCGTTCATGGCTGGGAGAGATTGTTTTGGGCAAAGGCCTACTACACAAAATTGAAACTACCCCAGAATGTCATTCAGATCATTACTGACACATGTGGAGCACAGAGACAGAAAGTCAGTGACATCAAGCTTTTTAGAATGTCCCACTAGAGGCTGGTTATGGGGGGAATACAGAGCCAAGCCAAACACAGGCTCCTTCCTTGAGGACTAGGTAAAGAAGTAGAGTAGGCTTCCAGACACAGCTGTGAAGCAGGTGATCCCTCATGCTGCATTCACTGTCCTTACACTGCATTCACTGTACCGCCTAATGCATTCACTGTCCCTCATGATGCATTCACTGTCTCTCATGATGCTTTCACTGTCTCTCATGATGCATTCACTGTCCTGCTGCTGTGTTCACTGTATCACTGCTGTATTCACTGTCCATCTTGCTACATGCTGAACCTGTTTCCAGTTTATCTTCATACTGGGCTTCTGTAAGGCATCCAGATAGTGGATCTTGCTGCTGCCACTGTTCATATGGCCACTGCTGTTTATGTCAAGCCCACGGCTCCCCTGGGTGGACTCCACCCTCCCTTCTCATGGCCAGCGACGGCCAGATAGGAGCTTTGCTGCGCATCAGAACAATTCACTCTTTGTGGTGAGGCTTTGCCCACTGCTCAGCAGCCTGTAGAGGCTTGGCAAGGCCCCCCCGTCTCACGTGGACCCTGCCCCCATCTCCAGGGACTCAGCTGTTATTTGGGCCATGGTGGGAGTTTTTATTTGCCTCTTCCAGGGAAAAAAATCCTATGTTCTCAGTAACCAGGCTCTGCACAGATGTCTCAAAGCAGAATCGTCAGCTAAAGGAAGCAGTCGAGATGGTGGGACAGACATCACCTTTGCTGGTTCACTGAGCTCTAGATGCCAGTGGGGAACACAGCACTGTTGTGCCATGTGTCAGCGCACTGCACAGTTTATCTCACTGGCTGGGGGTGGGTTTCTGATCTTCCTGGTTTCCTGGTAGTTTTATTTTATGCTGACATGAGCCGTGCACTGGTGGACTGTGCCGCTGCAGTCATCACATGACGAGAGTGTCTCAAAGGAGGAGCGAAGGCAGATCAGAGGTGCACGGCACTGCCAGGATCAGCTGTATTCACTGGGGCCCGCCTGTTTGGTAAGCAAATCTTGTGGTTGGCCCACACCAAGCTGTGTTTCATTTCCATCATAAAAGGTGCTGGGGGGCTGGCTTTGGTAGGAGGGGGCGCTGCTGAGAGCTGGTAAGGCAAGGATACAAATAGCACCTCAGAGGATCCGTTCGGACATTCTCATTTTGCAGAGGGTCGTCTCTCTCTGGCTGCCGGTAAATGCCAGTGGCTGCATTGCCCTAGAGGTCTGAGGTTTTGGGGGGTGGGAGTGGCTAAAGTCCAGCCCCCCCCACACCGTGAGTGAGACGCTAAGGCTGTCTTCACCACAGTGTTCCCTCACTGGGCTGTGCTGAGGATGGACACCAGGATCGCTCGCCTCTGCTGCCTGCTGGCCCTCTGCTCTCCGGGGAGCAGCCAGTGGTGGGGATTTCTCTGGGGTGGCGGGGAGACCCCCACAGCCCCTGGAAGCACCATCACAGCAAATGCGGGTCCTGGCCGGCCAGGGGAGGAGCGCGAGGAGCCGGCCAGTACCGGTGCCACTGCCGGGGAGATCAGGGAGAGCAGCCTTGCCAGGGAACCGGTTGTTGAGCCCAAGGCTAAGAGGCTTCTTAAACTCTGGAGGAGCGGTGAGTGAGTGAGCGAGCGAGCGAGTGAGTGAGTGAGTGAGTGAATAAATGAGCGAGTGAGTGAACTGGGGGTCAAGGAGAGACTGAATGACCCACCAGTTTGTTTTCTCACCCAAGAGATAATAGATTGACCCAATGCAGTGTGACTTCCTCTGATGGGATCATAAGAGAGAAATCTGCATGAAGTCTTTATATCTGCCGTTTTGTGATTGTGAGCAGCTTGGACTGGATTAGTTTAGAAAGTTCTCCTTATGGGCTTTTCGGCTGTGGTCCAGTTCAGAAACATGCAAAACAAGTGGGAAAAACAACAAAAAACCTGAAGACCGACAGTAAGGGTACAGAAAACCTTGGGATGTGATTATGACAGAGAAGAGTAAATTTGCAATAAAAGTCCTGTGTGTGCGGTTCAGGACAGTCCAAGGCAGTGCAGCTTTGTCCTGTTTGGGAGACTGTTAGCCAGCGGCACATCAGGTAGCCCTCTGTGGCACATCAGGTAGCCCTTTAGCCTGTCGCTAGGGGCGTCTATCGGCCGTTTAGACCGTCACCGAGGGCATCAGGTAGCCCTTTAGCCTGTCGCTGGGGGCGTCTATCGGCCGTTTAGACCGTCACCGAGGGCATCAGGTAGCCCTTTAGCCTGTCGCTGGGGGCGTCTATCGGCCATTTAGATGGTTGCTCGCTGTTGTCTTCCTGCTTGCTGATGTCTCAATTTCTAAAGCAAATTGCTGTCACATGAATTCGTATTGGGACAGATGATGAACATTTCCTATGAGACGTGGAGTGAACCACGGGTAAGGGGGCATGGGGATTGCCGGGAGGGAGGGTGAGTGCCCATTTCAGGGGGGACATGGCGAAGAATTCGGCCCAGCGTCTAATTACAGCATGAAGGATGTCCCAGTGGGACATGGTGGTCTGCGTATCCGAGGAAAACAAAACAGATCTACTGCTGTTTTTTTTTTATTTCAGGAATTTATTTCACAGACTCAAAACTGATCAATGGTCCTGCTAGGTGCCCTTTTCTCTGATGGCACTTTGAGATGCTGCTAGATGGCTTGATCCAGTGAAGGTTTCATAATTTGGTGACTCTTTGCAGGACTGAAAAGACAGGTCTCCCCTCAGTGTGGTCCATGCAGAACCCAGCTGCCGGCACCAGATGCAGTGCTTCACGTGCACATTTTTTTTTTCTTTTTAATATTGCAGTGGCTGAGCTGGCTGAAGAGGAGGGAAAGATTAGGAGGGGGAGGAAAAGAAAAAAGAAAAGGAGGAGTAATTGAAAGAGATAAGCTAAGAACGATAGGAGTGAAGTAGAAGGTGCCTTAACAGGCAGTCAATTGCTGCATCTGTAAGGGAGAGAGAAAAAAAAAGCGCACATTTTACGTTCAGCTGATTTACCTGCTCAGGCTCCTCTCTCTGTGAGCCTCTTGGGTAGCTGTGAAATTCATGGGTAGCTGTGAGTATCACACACACACACACACACACGTCCTCCTACCCGTGCAGTGGGGGCTCTTTATCTTTCCAGCGGAGTGAGTTTCAGGCAGGCGTATCGATTTAGTTGCAGTTTGGGACAAAGCTGGAGGCAGGATGGGGTGGGATGGCAGTGGCCGTGACTTGGACTTGCCCCCAGGTATGATGGAACTCGGATGCACAGTACTACGCATCTTATGTGTTCTTAGGAGCTTGGAGTACCTTTACGGGGCGGGTGAGGTCAATCAATCCCACATACACTGAGACAACAGAAGAGAACAGAGCAGAAGTAGAGGCCCTGCGCAGTTAGACATGGTGTTTCCTGCTAAATGGATTAACGCCAGGGCAGCATTATGTGGCTGTGTGTCTGATAGACACTGGGCAAAAGGAGCATTCTGCTTCACCTTTAAGTAATGAGGAAGGGACAATAGGGTCCAATAATCAAGGTGTGGATGGAGGGTCTTTGAGAAGCTTAGAGAAGTGTGACTTTTCCTCTGTTCTTAATTGATGAGTTACAGGCTAAATCAGTCATCATCTTAGAAAGCACTGTTTTAACTGCTTATGTTCTGCTACGCGAGGGTGTGGGGGTCATGTTCTGATATGCGGGGGTGCGGGGGACATGTTCTGGTACGCGGGGGTCATGTTCTGGCACGCAGGGGTCATGTTCTGGTATGTGGGGGTGTGGGGGCTATGTTCTGGCATTATCACACAGACACTTTGGCCCAAGTGAGAAAAGTGAGGGTTCCATGAGTGTCCCTAGAGCACTTACAATTATGGGCCCAATAATGATATCATTTATGTGTTGGCCATGAGATTTGAACACGCAACCTTCCAAACGCAGCTATACCGATCTTTCAGGTCTGCTTCACTTCAGCCCCTGTTGGCATTTGCATTGCATTGTGTTGAGCTGGGTTCTGTGTTTTTTGCAGACCGGAAGACTAAGGACAACCTGAACTTGCTGGAGTTGATAGGAGTGCCCCTCCCCCCCTCTGTCTCCTTCATTACTGGGTATGAGGGCTTCCCGGCCTACAGCTTCGGGCCGGACACCAACATTGGGCGGCTCACCAAGACGTTTGTGCCCGACCCTTTCTATCATGACTTCGCCATCATCGTCACCGCAAAGCCGATCACGGACAGAGGGGGTGTGCTGTTCGCCATCACCGATGCCCTCCAGAAGATGGTGTATCTGGGCGTCGTCCTGACGCCAGTGGAAGACCAGACGCAGAGAATTGTCCTGTACTACAGCGAGCCGGGGAGCTCCAGCTCCCAGGATGTGGCGTCTTTCAAGGTGCCGAGCATGACGGGCCGCTGGAGCCGCTTCACTCTGGCCGTCCAGGGGCACGAGGTGCGGCTCTACATGGACTGCGAGGACTTCCATGCCGTGGCCATGCAGCGGCCCTCACACAGCCTGCGGTTTGAGGCGGGCTCGGGCATCTTTGTGGCCAACGCTGGTGGGACTGGTCTGGAGAGATTTGTGGTGAGTAAAGCTTTGTGTGTCTTTAGCCAGAATGTGAGCATTTCTGCAGGAGTTTGTTATGCATATGTGTGTGAATCTTTATGGGTATATGTGTCAGTCTCAGTCACATCCGTGTCTTCCATTCATAGTTCAGACCAATTGACGATTTATCTTCCCAATAGACAAGAGAGAACAGATCATGCGAGACAAAGGGTACCCATGGAAATACGTGACGCTTTCCTAGTCTTTACGGTTAACATGACGCCATGAGAATTTGGCTAGTCATGTGGAAAAGGATTATTGTTGCACCAGAAGATTCCTGTTGCTGATGTAGTAGGGATCAGGGTTTGTTAATGGCCCATTATGGCCGTGTGATGGCTCTGTGGTACAGTGGCTGGTGCATTGGACTTCTGGCTAAGCACTTGGAGGGGGGTGATTCAAAGGCTGTGGGTTTGAGTCCCACTGGAGCCATTTTTGAGGGCAGTGTGGCTCAGCAGGTCGGGACTCTGTGCGTATAATCAGATGCTGGTTTGAATTCTGCGACCACCTGGCTGATGACACAATTGGGCTCTTGAGCAAGGTCCCTAACCCCCACCTCCAGGGGTGCTGCACGCTGGCTGACCCCGCGCTGTGACCCCCAAGGTTGCTCTGACCTCTATATGTGTCCGTGTCTCTCATGGAGAGTAAGATGGGTGGCTGAAAAGAGTATTTCCCTACATAGATGGATAAAGCGTTTACTGTTTTATTGTATAAGTCTGAAACCCATAATGAGTGGGGCTACCCAGCTCTGTAGACACTGATTGGTTTAATCATCCGGGAATAACTTAAGTAACCAATGGGAAGTGGGTCAAGCCTGTCAGCAACTGAGAGCAAATGGGAATCCAGACTTTCAAAGCCTCATTCTTCCCGTCACCAGTTTTACCAAAGCCATGCAACATGTTAAATACGTCACGCATCTCTACATATCAGACAAGCTGCTTTTAACGTGTGCTGCTGGATCCGGGGACACTGAGGAAGGTTTGCAGTTCAGGCTTGGGCCAGGCTGACCTTGGAGCTGCAGCTGTCCCAGGTCACTGTGAAGGAGGGTGCCATTATGCCATGGGGGGGGGGGGAGTCCTCTGCCTGAGTAGATGTCCTGCACTGACTTCCTGTCAGCCTACACATGGAGCGGCCAGCCACCGTCCTCCTAATGTTTTTATGTTCTGGAGAACGTTCTTCTGGAGAACGTTCCGCCTCCCCCCGCTCTCACTCGCCCACTGCCCCCTCATTGACATACCTCAGGATTGAGGGGCTTCCCTTCCGATTGGCCAGAGCCACCACAAAGCCGCCTTGGAGTAATAAGCTGAGGAGAAGTTCTCTCAGATCTCATCTCCTTGTTGGAGACGCTCAGTTAAATCTCCTGTTGCTACATTTGCCTGAAAAGCAAAGTTACTGGTAAGGAACAGATAGAATGGAAGGATTAATGACAGTTTAATGCAGAAGAAAAAAATATTCTGTCTTTAATAAGGGGCAGATTTCAACTTTTTTCTCAAAGCAGTAAGAAATGCATGTTTGAAGTGAATGAACATATAAAAGTATGTGACTCATATTGAAAGAATAAAGATTTAACATTTTTATTGTTCTCAGATAAAATTAAATCACTGATCATCGAGCACTAAGTGACACTTCGAGGAGCATCCTAAGTTTTGTTGAATGTTCTCCTGCACCTAGTGCATCTTTACATGGCAGGATTAGTGTACATTCATACTCCACCTGCCCCCCTCAAAGCCTGCATTGTCCCAGCCGGCACAGCGTCACGTTTGTTTGCGTGTAGACCTGGCCGACGCACCGTCCAGGGTCAGGAAAACCCTTTTTGCTGACCTCCCTGCTCGGTGCTGCACGGTCGGCCGGCCGGCCTTCATCGTGAGGCCGCTCCTCAAGCACCTAATTGCTCAGTTTATGAAGTTAATCATTTATTCTGGCCTCAGATGTGCCCTTTGCTGTCTCATTAACATGCAGACACTGCCAGCAGTGGAGTGTTTACAAAAGCAGTTGGCATAGCAACAGCGGCCCGGGAAACGGCTCTTTGTGCGGAACGACTGGTGCCTCATGTGCTGGGAGTGAATTGGGGTGAGAGGCCCTGAGATCCATCGCTCTGTAAGGAGGAGAAGCAGGAGGCGGGGGAGGAGCAGGAGGCGGGGGAGGACTGCTGAATCCTGGCGGAGGCCAAGGTCTCTCGGCGCGGACAAAAGCCTGTTTGTTTAGACAGCTCGCCTGCTTCCCCTCAGCATACAGCCAGGATGCAGCGCTTCACTTCTCCTTTTATTGCTCTCTCTGTTTCTTGTACAGGTCTCTCTTTCTGAGATCTCAGCAAATCAAATTTAAATATACCACTATAATGCGTGGTTGGACGCAACTGGATTGACTGTGATTGTTTGAGTGGTCATGTCCCTCCGTCGTATCCTGTCCTGTTATTTAGAGTATGCAGGAAATGGCGGACGGCAGTCTCAGAGAGAGAAACTTCTCAGGCCGTTGACATCGTTGACATTGGTGGTGGGGGGTCACGTGACAGAAGGTCTCAGCACGTCGCAGCTACACCTTCGTGTTCACACAGAGCCTGGAAATGCGACTCGAAGCAGATGTTTAGCATTTTTAAGGTATGGCCAAAGAATGCCATCGGACCCAAGCTTTGCCCAGGGTAGTCTGCACCAACAGGCTTATTCTGGGATGTGTGAAACCTCTGCAGTGACCATTCTGGCTCTCCCTGTCGACAGTAGTGCAGTATCTGCACGCTCTATAAACC